GCCGGGGGGCGCCGCGGAGCAGCGGGGTGTGTCACCGGCGACCGTCGGCCCTCGCGTCGTAAATCCAGAAAGCCGGGGCTTTCTTGAGGGTAGAGGAGGGCACTGGAGCGATGCCACTTAGGGGGCAGGGATCGAGCTGGAGTTTCGGCCGTGGTTTGCGCCACAAGTGAGGGAAGACGCCGAGTTTAGGCCGCTTCAGGTCTGTCCCCTCCCCCACATCATGGTTCCAGGCTGGGCTCCGGGCTCGGCGCTGGGCCCCCCGAGTTTCCCTTGGGATCCAGCCTAGCGGGCCGCAGGCACAGAGAGCAATGTACCTCGCTTGTTCTTCAGACAAAGATGGGATCGGATCTCACTTCTGTTGGAAACGCAACCCTTCCACCTTCAGTGGAGAGTGGTTTCCTGGAGCCCACCTTGGAGCTGGAGGCAGGTCCCAGGGAGTCGGTGCTCCCAAGTTTATTTTGGGAAGACGCCTTGACAGCGTCCACAACAACAACTTTGAATGAGTAACTGAGTCTTCTCTTCCTGCAGTGGCACCTTCCCCAAGAGCCTTAAGGACACTTCTTTCATCCTCCCCTACCTCCCACAAAAACTTCAGTTAGGAAAAGGCCCTGCAACTCCCCCTCCCCAGCCCTGGGGGTGGGGCAGGGGCACACTGAAGGGGGGAGAGGTGGTAATTAACCAACCGACTTTGACCCTTGATCTGCAGGCTCCATGGCACCGCCCAGACCTTTAGGAAAGTTAAGAAGAGAGGGATATGGGTGAGGGCCCCCCGCTGTGAGGACTGCCTCAGTTTCCCTCCTGAATAAGCTGTTGGAAATGGGAGTATAGTGGGGAGGTCTTTTGGCTTCACCTGCCAGGATCCAATGACCTGAGGTGTTGGTAGGATATTTCACAGTTTAACCTTACTTTAAGGGGCTGGGCCACTCTTCTGTAGTCTCCTTAAACAAGGGATTGGGCCCAAAAGCCCTGATGACCCCAATGGGGAAACTGAGGCAAGCTGAGTGTGCTGCTTTGCCTAAGGTGGGTTGGGGTATGGGCTCAGGATTCTAGTTTCTTGATAGCCTAGTGTCCTGGCCAGCTGGCCAGTGCTCCACCTCCGGAAGGCTCTGTCAGAGAACAGCCCCTTCCTTACTTCTGCCTCCTCCCCAACCTGTGTTTGACTTGCTGCTTAGCTGCTCTTTGGGATCTGATAAACTGAACTTGGACTGTGTTAAAGGTGAGCCGAGTCTTGAGCTGGACTCAGTGTGCTGTTATTTTTAGGTTTATTTCTAATTGTAGTCAGTAACAGTTCAAGTGTTGACTTTTACAAAGGAAGAAGAAATTCTGTTTGTTCAAATCATTGACTTTTGGATCCTAGTGATCCCCACTAGCACCACTACAGTTCTGGTGACCACAGTGGGAGTGGTGGTGGCAGAGACTGTGCCCCAGGGGCAGTCAGTCGCATCAGGTGCAGAGGTCACAGGAGTCCACTGCTGCTGCTGTCCAGGTGAGGGAGCACGCAGGTCCTCACTCTTGTGGATGGTCCCGGATTGGGGGGATACTCCCCAGAGACCTGTAAGAGTTGCCCTCACACTTCCCCCAGCTCTAGCCAGGGGAGAGCCCTGTGGATGAGGCAAGGGTAGAAGTTACAGAACTTAACTTTACCTCAGAAAGCCGTGTTGTTGCCCACTGGAGTTTCCCACAGTTTGGGGAAATGAGAAAGGGAATGTTCTCTATCCATGCTCGGGTGCCTCAGGTGGCTGGAAAGCAGGGGCTGTTTTGTGGTGGCTGTGCCCTGGCTAGGGCATTCTATCACCAGCCAACCATGACCCCGGGAGCTGGCTGGGCACGTTTCAGTCCCCCACCTCACAGACTCCAGCTCAGGGTGACTAGCTAAGCACTAACCCGGTTCCCACTGGAAGCCCTGAAGAGCAGGAGCACATCTGAGTTCTGACCTTCCCGCCAGGGATTTCTGGGACCTTTAAAGCCTCACAGAGACCACCTGGAGGGAGGTTTCACCCGTGACTCAAAATCACACCAGCCCTTCTCCTGAAGGCAGGAAGGTTCCCTTCCCAGGGCAGAATCTGTCCCTCAGCCTCTCCCTCCTCCCAAAGCTGAGGGGAAAGCCCAGAGGGGCAGGCCAGGGAGGAGGCCCCTCCCCCCATCTCCTCACTCCTGGAGTGGGCTTCTCTCCTTGGTTGTGTCAATATTGACTGTGGAGTGACAGGGAAGCATGCTGGTTTCTTGAGGATGAGCCAGGGCCCTGTACCTGAGGTAAATTCCACCTCTAAATTGGGGGAAGGGCTCCAGCAGCAGGGATGAGGTGGAGTCTCCAAGCCCAGCCCCTGCTGAGTGGAGTCTTTATGCCAGGAAGACACCTGGGGGTCAGACCCTGCCTGGAAGCTGGAACTCCAGGGCCATCCCTGGAACCTCCTCCAGGCCCCAATCCCCCACTTCCGAACTCCCCTCTGGCTGCTGGTCTGGGCCTCTGTTTACAGGCGTAGCAGCACGTGCACAAGCCTCAGGACAAGTCCAGGAACGAGCCCAGGAGGCCAGCAGAGCTGAGCTGCTGAAGCCTGGGGTTTCCTTTAGCTTACTAATGTGGCCCAGCCTGGCTCTGTGGGAATTTAGTAGCTCGTTCAGGCTGAGCCAGAAAGACCAAAAAAGTTTGCTTTGGACCCAGGACACAAGTGTGGGAGGGCTGAGAGCTGGGAGGTAAGGCCTCTGAGTGTTGTAGTAATCCTGGGAATGCTGGGCAGGAAAAGAGAGGTTTGCTGTGGCCTCTAGGTAGTGAGATTGAGAGGAGGGACAGTCAGCCAGTACACTGGGAAAGAAGAGTAACTTGGGCCCCAGTGTTGGACTAGATGGGACTTCTACTTCTCTTGTGGGACACTATCATGTAAGCAGTTTGTCTCAAGCTTGAGTGTCCCAAGGCAGAGTGCCTTTATGTTTGTTTGTCTGTTTTGTTTTTGAGACAGTGTCTCACTATGTAGCCCAGGCTGGCCTTGAACTCACAGCAATTCTCCTGCCTCAGCCTCTTGAGTGTGGGGATTACAGGCATGCAGTGTCTTTTTGTCATTGTTTGTTTCAGCATGTATTATGTGGCATCCCACGGGGGTGCCTAAGCTGGTGTTGGGCAGGAGGGTGACTGATGTCACAGGAAGCAGAGTACATCTATCCCAGATTGTGCACCCTGGTGTGAGGTCCTACGGCACAGTTCTAACTTCAACATGGAAACTGAATGAGAAGTGGTTGGAAAAAGGGACTCTGGCACTAAACAGAATGGCAACAAAAGGCCGAGAGACAGACCCACTGTGTTCATAGGGCTGTAACCTCTGCCAGTTGGCTGGTGCCATTCCTTTCAAGAAACTGTTAGCTGACTTGTAGGACTGGGGGAACTAGGCACAGAAGACCCCAGCCCTTCCTGGTAAAAATGCAAGGCTGCTTAAAGCTAACTGGGCTGTGCAGAAACATGTTTAGAATAGAGTTGACCCCCCCACCAGCACCCATGTGGTCAGCTGAAGGACCACACATCTGCCTCCGTGTCCTCACATCTGCCTCACATCTCCCTAGAGAGCCAGGACCAGGCCTCATACCCAGCACTGTCCTGGGGCCTTGGAGGGGGTAGGACCTGGCATTCTGTCCACTATTAGGACCAGTAGCTTTCAGTCCAAGAGAGGGGAGCTCTCAGAGGGTTAGCAGGATTCAGGATGGGCAGCTGCCTAGACACAGTCCCTGTATGTCCCGTCCACTGCTGAGGTCACTGGGTCACAACATTGTCCAGGTAGAGGCACGCTGGGCCTACAGGAGGGGACCCACTAGCCCCTCATGATGCAGGTACAGGGCCTGCTGGTTTGGCCTTGCCATACTCCACAGCTGTGGGCGGGCAATGAGTGGCCACAAAGGGCCACCGCCTTGCCGGAAACATCTAATTAGGGGACAGGGAGCAGCATCAACAGGGCCCAACCAGTTCTGCTTCCTGCCTCCTGCCACTAGTGGCACTTGGGATGGGTGCTTGGCAAGCCGATGTGCACTCTCTGTGTGTGTGGCCCCACAGGGACACCTGGGGGTGGCACAGAGACAGGTTTGTCGGGGTGGGTATGATGAGGCACACATCCCCACCCTGGCAGCCTCACCTGCCTCTTGCTCAGGGTAGAGGTGGCAAAGAGCAACCCAGCAGCCTCCACCCCATCCCCAACTCAGCACCAGTCTTCCAGGCTTGTGTGGGTGTGCAGAGGCAGGCAAAAGACATGAGCTTGGGTCCCCAAAACCCTGACCATGAGCCAAGTGGAGCCAGGGAGCCATGTTTAAACTCCTAGTTTAAACCAGCCCACCTCACCTGCTGTCCCTCCTCCTGCTGCTCCCAGGGCAGGCTGTGTGGCTTACTTCTGGCTTTCAACTTGGGGGAGCCTCATGCTGTCCTCAAATGAGACAGAAGAGGGTAAAGGTCCCCATTTGTCTCCACCTGGGGTAAGAAACAGAAATGGCCATTCAGTGTTGAGCTCTCAGTCAAGGTCTTCAGTGACAAGTAAGTGGCACTAGAAACTGCTAATCCTCTGTCACTGCTCCTGAAGTCCTGGTCTTGTGTGTGCCAGCACCTCTCACCCAGGGCAGACTGACCTTTGACAGTGGGCCCCCTCAGCTTGACACCAGCCTTCGTGGCCCCAAGAGAAGTGGGACGCCAGTCAGGGGCCAGGCCAGGGCTGGTGAATCAACTCCTGGAATGAGGTGGCTCATTAAAGTCCCCCGGACAGACGGACGCCAGTTGCCCGCAGAACGGGTTCTGGGCGCGGGCAGGCGCATTCTTCTCCTGTCAGACCTTTGTTGTGTTTTGAGGGGGCGAGAGCTGGGGCCTCTCCCGAAACTCCAGTACTCTCATACTTACCCTTCCTCCCTTATTACGTTCTTCTACATCCCTATCTGTCCTCAGCAAGGGTCGGGGGAAGCAATGGCCCTGCTTGGGTCCTTGGCCCTCTCTCACCAACTTCAGCCAGGGAGTGGAGAGCCCAGCTCATGGGTATGAAACCTCAAATCTATGGCCTAAGTCCCTCTGTGACTCTCATCCTTTTCTATCCCAAGCTCCATCAGTTGATTGATTGATTGTACTGGGGATTTAATCTAATTTTTAAAATTTTTTTATTCTGAGACAGGGCCTCATCAAGCCACTGTGTTGCCCAGGCTGGCTCAAACTTGTGATCCTCCTGCTTGAGCCTCCCAGAGTGCTAGAATTATAGGCATGGGCTACCATACTAGCCATCCCATCTTGATTTGTCCTTCCAAAGCTTGGGAAATGTTCCTAAAGATTTTAAGTATCATGCTTAGGCTATACTAATTGAAATTTTAATTGAAAAACTAGACCATTTTCCCCCAGCTCTGTTGGCTTTGAGATTTGTCCTTCTGGGTCAGATTTGGCCAGTCTCCCTCAGGCCTAGGGCCCAAGGTTGGCTGCCATGCCTCCCTGGCCCGTTTAGTCTAAGGTGCCTACCTTAGGGAGCAGCTGTGTCAAAAGCTGCCAGGTATCGGTGCTGCCACTGCCAGAGGGAGCCCAGCCTGACAGCCACAGCAAGCAAGCGGTCCACTGTGGGGGAGGGTTGCATAAGCGCTGGGCAGGCCGCCCAGAGACTGTTACGAGCATCCACCTGCTGCTCCCTGACCTCCTCCCTCTCCACCCACCTGGCCTGTTTGCCTGCGGTGCAGGGCCCAGCCCAAGTCAGGAGCTTGGAGGCCGATGGACTGCAAAAGCAGGGACCAGCTAGGCCAGGCAAGAAAGAGGCTAAGACCACCTGAACCCCCAAGGCCAGCAGCTAACTCTGCTTGGAGGAGAGACGTGGAGGGGCAGACTACTAGTGACCCTTCCAGGGCCAGGATGAGCCTCAAGGAGCTGTTGCTGGCCAGGCCCTCAAGTGGTGCCCTTTGTCCCTACAAGACTGAGGACAGGCCTGGAATCCAGAGGGACTGGCCCAGGTGGGGCTGGGCACACAGCTCTGCAGGCATAATTGGCAGGGCAGTTTGGTCCTCCCAGTTCCGCTAAGACACAAATTACTCAGCGGGCAGTGGCGCTTAGCTGGCGTCACTGGTAATTACCTTATTGGGGCAGGGAATGGTGGGTTGGGAGCAACCCCATTCTGCTGCATGCCCGCAAGGGGAGGGACAGAGGCCCCAGGTTCCAGCCATGTCCTTGCTAGGGAACCTTCCTGAAACCTGACTGGATCCTCTTTTCTCCACATGCCCTCACCTGGTTCCTCTTCTCTCCCCAGTCAGCCTGGGCTTCTGCCCACCACAGCCCTACCGAGAGCCAGAGCCATCAATGGCTGAACCTCCTTCTTGCTCCCTGGCTTTGGACATGAGCCTTCGGAACTCCGGCTATGGTGTAGCTCCTGGGCCCTGTGTGGTGGCCCAGCTGCCCTCTGAAGACTTGGGCCGCCTGACAGATGCCCAAAGCAGAGACCAGGGCTTCTTGCGCACCAAGATGAAGGTAATAACTCTCAGGCTGTCTTGAGGACCAGGGCCGTGTGTCCAACCCACAAGACATGGTGCAAATGAGACAGTCAGAGACTAACCAGGGTCCTTGGCTAGGGCTTCTGTAGAGAACTTAGCTGGGGCATAGATGAGCAAGAGAAGTAAATAGGTCTAAAGTGGGAACATCTAGCCCTTTCCAGTCAGTGTCCCTACAATATTCAGTACAGCAAGGAGAGCCATACAAAGAGCCACCTTTTTGCATAGAAGTTTCAGGCGGACCCGTTAGGTGGGAGCCTGGCATGGGTGCCTCTCCTGGGTGCTCCTATCTGGGCCATAGCCTGTGTGAGGTCTGGAGTTGGTGTTATAGTTAGCTGTTCCCTGAAGCAGGTGGCAGCAATACCTTTCCTAGGACTGTATCTATAGTCCATCAGCACCCAAAGCTGTGCCCTAGGGGAATGTGCCATGCACAAGGCAGCACAGAGGCCCCCACTTCCAAGGACAACACCAACAAGAGTCTGGCCCCAGCTGCTCTGCACTCCTGTGAGCTCCAGGACTAGGAAGCTTCCACCAGTAGTGACCCATCAGAAGGGCACCCCTCTAGTGTGCCAAAAGTCTGTAGACAGTGGGCAGTGGAGCCATCCTTCCCCTAATGCCTTTGGAGGCCAAGTGTGTAAAGTTCCTGGAGAGCAGTGATCCAATGTGTTTAGTTATTGGTCCCAACCAGCTGGGTCCTCCTGACATTCACAGTGCCCCTTACCCACCTAGGGCCTTTGCCACACCCCTGGGGCCCCTGTGGGTAGAGAGAGCAGAACAGAGGGGACAGATGGCACAGGAGCCAATGGAGTAGAGTGAGTCCTGACCCAAAGGTCCTGACCAGCTGGCAACAAAGGGTGCTGCAAGCAGAACCAGATAAGGGTGCTGAATGGGAGGTATGGTGTGACCAGAGGAGTATCCAATGATAGGACCACTCACAGAGAACAAGCGACCTCTAGCTTGTTCAGGTGAAGGTGAAACGTTCCTGCTGCCACTTCGAGCAGCACTTTCAAAGGTGTCTGGTGACTCCCAGGACTCTCAGAGGACCCCAGAGAGGGAGAACGAAGATGGTAGAGGTGGAGCAAGAAAGGCCCCAAGTGACAGGCACGAGCTTGTGGTACCAGTCTTTCCACTTGTGTTTAAATTTAAATTTTTCTATCATGAAAAAAATAATTTACAGGCAAGGGCCAGGGATTTAGCTCAGTGGTGCCACCACCTGCCTCACAAGCACAAGGTCCCTGGTACCAAAAAAAAAAAAAAAGAATTACAGGCAAGAAGATGGCAAAAGGGGATGAACTGTGCCACATCAGGCCTGGCTTGAGTTAAACGAGAGAGCTGGGCTCTCTCAGGCAGGACTCTGGGCTCACAGAGGTACCACAGCCTGGGACACGTCTTCCTGTGCTGAGGCAGAAGGAGAGTGAAGGGCAGAAACCACAGACTGGCCAAGGTGCCTCAGTTAAGGGTATAGCTGTGCCTGCTGATGCAGCCGCCATTTCTGTAGGTTAAGGTGCCCCTCTCAGTATGGTTAAGGAGAGCCTGTGTGACAGCTTCAAAAGGGAGCTCAAGACCCAAACAGGAGGCAGCACCAGTGACCCTGAGGTTCCATTAGCCCCCACACTGCCCATCTCTGGGCTGTGGTCCCTGGAGGTGGCACTTGAAGGTACTGGTACCCAGTGTTTATGTTTCGCAGCCTGCAATCCCAACTTCTGGAGTCTGTCACAAATGGAGTCTTTGCCCACAGGTGACTGCAGGGGATAGTCCCAGTGGAGACCTCTTCACCTGCCACATCTGTCAGAAGGCCTTCACCTACCAGCGCATGCTGAACCGCCACATGAAGTGTCACAACGATGTCAAGAGGCACCTCTGCACATACTGTGGGAAGGGTTTCAATGACACTTTTGACCTCAAAAGACATGTCCGGACCCACACAGGTAAGCAGGAGCCAGCAGCCAGGAGGGAACAGCTCAGCCCTGCCCAACTGAGGCCCCGTGGGAGACTCCAGGAGCCTCATTGATGATGGCAGCCCAGGAAGGACATCTTGGAGGTCAGGGTGGAATCCCTGAGTTGATCAGTGAGGACTTTGGGGTTGAGAGTCACTTAGGAAATTGGTGCTGGATGGGCCTCATTCATCTCTCTGCCCTAGCCACCTGTCCTGGCTTTTCTGGGTCTGGATGCTGGTGACAGGCACTGAGGTCCCTGTTAGGTCCCTTATGCCAGGCACTGTCTCCCACAGGTGTGAGGCCTTACAAATGCAGCCTGTGTGATAAGGCCTTCACTCAGCGCTGCTCCCTGGAGTCTCACCTCAAGAAGATCCACGGTGTGCAGCAGAAATATGCGTACAAGGAGCGCAGGGCCAAGCTGTACGTGTGTGAGGAGTGCGGCTGCACATCTGAGAGCCAGGAGGGCCACGTCCTGCACCTGAAGGAACACCATCCCGATAGCCCATTGCTACGCAAGACCTCCAAGAAGGTGGCCGTGGCCTTGCAGAACACTGTCACTTCCCTATTGCAGGGCAGCCCCCACCTCTGAGTGGCATAGCTCAGGGGTGCTTTGGGAGTCCAGAGAGGGTCCAGGTTTGCCACACTGCTGCCCAACCAGACCACCCTCCTGCATGATCAGGACTGGAGCCCCCCATGCCTTAGTTTCCCCCATAGGCATATGCACTCCTGAGGGCCTAACACTGACCTTGGCAGCAAGAGGAGATCCTGTTGCCCTTGCCTCTGAATACAGGGTAGGGGCTTCCTGGCCCCTGGGGACAACAGAGTCAAGAGCACTGGCAAAGAGCACCCCTGCAAACAACCACAGTGGAGAGCCAGTGGCAGCCCCCACCTGCAGGGCTGCAACAGGGGACTCTGCCCTCTGACAGAGGCACGTGCACGGCTGTGTATGTATAGGTGCACGTGCATGGATGTGTAATTCTGCTCAGTGTGTGCTAGCACGTATGTGCACCAGGCGTGTGCGTGGATGCACACAGGAGGCCTTTCCACATATCACCTCATTTTTAACAAATCAATCATAAGGTGCCAAGCAAGTTTCGTTTCCTTTTTTTAAAGATGACAAATGTACAGATATTAATATATATTTTGGTGCCCATGACTACTGTTTTTAAGAGCGGGATGGAGCTGGCTTTTCTCCACCCCTGTGTGGTTCTGTTTATCCTGGACATTTCAAACCTTTTCTGTGCCTTCATCTAGGGGTGACTGCCTGACCCACCCCTATTCTTGGAGATATTTAACCAAATGAAGATCTTCCATGCGGCCCACTCCAAGGGTGGCTTGCTCGTTCTGTTTCTCCCCTTCTGCTGGACAGTGCCTCACTGCTGCTGCCCTCCATCCCATCCTTTCTGGAGAACCTGTATGCTCCTGGGAGGCTGTAGAGGCCGGGCAGGTGCAATGCAGGTCTCTGATACTGAGACCACTGCCTGAAGTACTAAGTCAAATGCACAGCCAGGTTGAAGGCCAACCTGGTAAGTCAAAAACCTAAGTACCCCACCCCCCAAAAAACCCTAAGTACAGCAGCAAACAATTGAATAGAATCATAACACATCAGAAACTTCCAGAGGGAGGAGAGTATTAGATAGTTAACAAATTTTCTTTGTAGCCTTTTTTTGTTGTTGTTGTTGTTGTTTTTGGTGTGTTTTTTTTTTTTTTTTT